AATGCATTAACAAGATCATGCTTACATATATAGCTAGTCAGCACAAGAGACAAATGACAATTTATACTGAACAATTTAGGTCTTTCAATATAGTGCTCACAACTCCAAGCTGTAGCTATTGACCTTTTCAATGGCATTCATTATGTGACATTGTCACCAATTATATTAAAAGGCATTCATTAATTTTTAAAAGCTAGAATGACTCAAAAAGTTCTGCACTGTAAATAACACATGGAATATTGCAGTTAAGTCTAAGATGGCCAGATCACTTCAATCTTTTCTACAATCTCTTGTATAATATGTGTAGGAAAATGAACGTTATATAAGAAGAAATAGAGCAAGTCATTGTATTTTTACCTCTAAGAGTTTAATTATTTATTTTAAGTAATGTCTATTAATATTTAAATCAACGTTAAAAATTAACTGCACAAACTCTAAAAGAAAATGGTCACGTTACATCAGACTACATTGTACAGAACAAAAGCAGCTAATTAGACCCTTTTTAAAAATTTAAAGTTTCTGACATCATTTTCCACCATTCCATCAATTCTTCCTTTTCCTCCTCTTTCCTTTCAGAAAATGACTCCAGTTCAAAATCAACCTAAAAAAGAAAATCAGGAATATATTGTTATCAAAGTGCATATGTATTTTTAAAAGCTGAAATAAAATTTTTTTTAGAAAAAGAGTAATCTCAGAGCTTTTAGGATAAGCTCAATTTAGACACTTGAATTAAAGTATACCCTAAAAAATCTCTCATAATAAAAGATACTTGGTGGTGGGGGGGGGGGGTGTGGAAGACAATGCAAAACCATTACGTTTGAACTGTGTTTTGATCTAATAGCTTTGTAGGATTATTTAAAAGCAGGGTATTTAAAGGAAGATTATGTCAAGGCAGTCTTTAGTAAGGACTTTAGTAAAGCCGGGAAAAAGATGTCGTTTATAATTAATTTTCTGCCTTTGACTATTCGGTGCGCTTCTCCTGTCAACCTTGAATTTTCTCCTGCTACGCAGCTCAGTGTCCTGGCATCCCCAACCACAAGGCCCTGCTTTCCAGAATCTTGAACCTGCTCACTCATCCCCAAACCACCATGGAGGCCGATGGCCCAGGAACTCAACTCTCCTTGGGAACAAGGCGTCCTCATCAAGTCCATGGAGAATCGAGAGACACAGAGCAAGGGAAGGGGATGTCATCCCTTCCCTCTCCTCAGCCTGGGCCATGGCTGAGGCAGGGGCCGGGCTGAGTGAGACCGTCACTGAGACAATGGTGACCGTTATTACGAAGATTGAATAAAAGCCACTTAACTATGCCTGGCGCACACACAAGTGCTTAATCAATCTCAACCGTTAATACGATGACTTACTCCAACAGCAGGACTGTAGGGAACCGCCACTTTCTTTGTTATCGCCAGATAGCCTGGAGCTGAGGCTGTGAGTTTATAGTTTCCAGGTACAAGCAGCCTCCAGTAATCGCCATCCTTTGCTGTAAGGAAACAAAACGTCAAATCACAAGGCACATACGTGACATGCACAGTAATACCCGCGAAGGAATACCCGGTATACCTCAGTTCAACTCCTTTTGTTCCCATTTCTAAAGCAGTTATTAATGGAATTCGATTAATTTTAACTGCTAGAGGGCATCAGTTCCCATATCAGTTTTACAGATATGAGTGTTAAATTGTCTGATAAATCTCCTAAGATAATCACTCTCCATAATCACATCAGGACTAACACAGATTAAAAAGACATACACAGCCCCCAAGCGGTGGGGTCAGAGCATCTTTCTTATTCTTGCCACGCATCTCTGGGTGAGGACCTAACGGGCGGAGAGTCTAGATCAGTGTTTCCCAAGGTGTGGCCCAAAGGCAGTCTCACCAGAATCCCTGAGGCACTTGGTAGACATTTCGATTTCTAAATCGAGTCTGTTGGTTGGATTGCCTTCTAGGGACTGTATTTTCAGCAAGTTCTCCAGAGATTTCTTAAGCTGAGTTACATGTCCCCCTCTCTCACTCTCCATGTACCCAGAGGTCCCTCCTGACCTGGACTAGCCTCCATGGCCCACCACTAGAATCACTCTCACGCATAGGCCTTCAAGTCATTGCTTTTCCCGCGTGGCGAAACACGCCTGGCAAACTGCCAACCATGGATAACCCCCACCTCTCCCCTCTACACCTGCCCTGTGGGGTGCAAGGAGCTGGAGAAGGCTGATCTAGCTCTGATTCATAAACGCCAACCTTGCACACTAGGTCAGTGCACATCCCTGGGGGACTTGTCCAGATACAAATTCTAATTCACTAGCTCTGTGGGGAGGCCTCAGATCCTGCATTTCTAACCAGCTCCTGGGAGACACTGATCCAGCTGCCAGTGGGGGCCACACCTTGAGCAGCTAGGTCCCTGGAACAATTCATACTTCCTCCTGTCTCCTAACACCGCTCAGACAGCCTCTTCAGCACTCTCAGTCCACGCTTTACCTCCTATCTCACTGTGAAACTAAAACAATCAGCAAAAAAACAAGGCCCCGTCACCATCCCTTCCCACCTACCTCTAGATTCCACATCTCCTTTCAGCCAGCACCCTTTTATCTCCTTTGCTTTTTAGCAAAGTTCCTGAGAAGACTGGTCAGTACTCTCTAAGCCAGTGGTTTTCAACCTTCTGGCCCTTTAAATACAGTTCCTCATGTTGTGACCCAACCATAAAATTATTTTCGTTGCTACTTCATAACTGTAATGTTGCTACTGTTATGAATCGTCATGTAAATATCTGATATGCAGGATGGTCTTAGGCGACCCCTGTGAAAGGGTCGTTCGGCCGCCAAAGGGGTCGCGACCCACAGGTTGAGAACCGCTGCTCTAAGCTCTCTCCTCTTATCCTTTCTTGGGCCTCCCGGAGCAGGCTGCCACCACCCCATGGAAACGGATTTTGTCAAGATCTTCCACTCAGGCTCCTTCACAAGGCTCACCTGCCCGACACTTTTCAGCCCTCCTTCTTTCCTGAAACACTCCCAGGCTCCAGGACGGCGCACCCAGACGTCTCTCTACCCTGGACTCCATTGCTGGCTCCTCCTCATCGCCCTGCCCTCGAACAGCTGGGGTGTCCCAAAACCCAGCCTCCATTTTTATTCCTTTCTGCCTATGTTTATTCCCTGTTAGATTTTACTAAAACTTCCACATCACAGAATGCAGAGAAACAAAGGTCTGTGTGGCACACCAGGGTTAACAGATAGGAGAGGTTCTCTGTGGCCAGAAGGGATCAATGCCTGGGTGCCATCTTCAACAGCCGACCTCCGGAGGGCCAAGGGGCCAATATCTTAGTGCAGATTCTGGTATACGCTTGGAAAGGGGTGCTGGCACTTAGTGCGTTGATGGATTATTGAATAAATTAATAAATGAAGTTTTAGAGAAAAAAGAAGGATTTAAAATATAAGTTATAAATGTGGATGTTAAGAAAGAGGTAATGGTATAAAGTGGTTTGGGAAATAAGTTAAAAATTAATTATAAGGCCTAGAAATATGTAAAGAGTTTATAGCTAAAAGATATTAATTTGGTTGTTGAAAAGATCCCATCGTATGACAGTTAAACTAAAAGGAGTGGATAAATGTCATTAACAGGAATAGGTACGTTTGCCAGGAAAATATATCATTTTGTCCAAACTGGGAAAATTGAAATGTGGTTTAAACTCAAAACAACTAACATCGACTTCAATCCTATAACAACCTGTTTAACGATGAATGGGTCCTGATTTACCATATGGATTAAATGAAGAAACGTATGAGAAATCCTGGATGCACAATATACTGGCAGTTATCTTTTTCCTACTCTTTTCATTCCCTCCTCAATGAACAAGTCATTAATACCATATATAGATATATAGGTATATAGGTATATAGATATATAGATATATAGATATATAGGTATATAGATATATAGATATATAGGTATATAGATATATAGGTATATAGGTATATAGGTATATAGGTATATAGATATATAGATATGTAGATATATAGGTATATAGATAGATAGATATATAGGTATATAGATATATAGGTATATAGGTATATAGGTATATAGGTATATAGATATATAGATATGTAGATATATAGGTATATAGATAGATAGATATATAGGTATATAGATAGATAGATAGATAGATAGATAGATAGATAGATATTGTCCAAAAAAGTATATACACACACTTTGAATAATTATAAGGCAGTGTTTGTTGAAATGCATTTCATTTTCAAACTTGAGCTATCAGCTGTTAAAATGTATATACATTTTTTGGGACATCTACATATAGGAAGGGAGAAAGAGAGAGAAACGTTGATTTGTTGTGCCACTTATTTATGCAATCATTGATTGATTCTTGTATGTGCTCTGACCAGGGACTGAACCTGCAACCTTGGTCTATCGGGATGGTTCGCCAACCAGCTGAGCTACCCAGCCAGGCCAGCACCTCTTCCTAAGAGAAATTTAAAAAAAGCACTGGTATTTTAACACTAGCGGGTTCATTTTCCTTTGCCTCACAAACAACAAAGACTCTCCAGTGGATGGCACCACCTTGCAGCTCTGCAGTGAGATACCCGAGGAAAGAGCGCCATCTGCTGCACCCCAATTATTAAACGCAGCAGCCAGCCTGGGTAACTTCCTGAGTTGCTCCCTTAAGGAAATTTAACTAGATTAAAGCTGAGAGAGAGAGAAGGTAAAGAGATATGAAGCATTTAATTAGTTTGCTTAGAGCAGCATAAGAATTATAACTATGGTAAGTAACTGGGCTCCTGTATATAATACGAGAGCCTCAGATCATGGCAGAGAACACCCACCGGATGTAACATCGTGGTCTATTCCTTCCACTGAGATGGTTGCATTGGCAATTGGTTTACCTTGAAGGTCTCGGACGAACCCTTTAACTCCTCGGTGTACCTGTGAAAGTCAAAAACACCCAGAAAATTCACATTAGAAATGACCTAAAAGTCCATCTCATATCAAGCATCTCCTTATTTTCTAACAAAATACTGTAGGTCTCCAAAACATGCTCAAAAGGCCACTGAATGTTTTGTGCACTCTTTAATCTGCTTTTTCTCAAGTGGGCAAATGAGAAGTAATCTCCCCAAAATTGACATCTTGCTCTGAGTCAAGGAAAGATTTTGCAGTACCTTTTGAACCACCAAAACAAAAAAACAAGAAAATGATGTCTTTAAAATAGTTCTGGTCTTAGCAGATTTCATTACTTTCTGTTTTAAATGTAGTTACCTGTGATTATCTTAAATGGTCACTATCAGTTAACAAGACTATTACAACATGAATACTTCTTCATTCTAGATAAAATGATATATACTGCGACTACTTTGGCATCAAACCCATTAACAGTATTGTTTTTGGTTCAAAGTAAGTGGCATGAAAGATCACTGAACTTCATAACTGAAAACTGTGCTTAGAAATTAAATGGAAGAGCTGTATTGAGAATAACGCCCTTGAATTAACTTGCAGTCATCAACTAGCTATTGCGATGCAAACTAAAAAAACAGCTTTTTTCTTTATTTTTAAATGATAATTCAACTAAGTATGTGTTAGAAGTGACAATCACTTCAGGTTTTTGAGAAAGCGCTGCTTCTGGAACATCAAATGTTAGTTCAGTTTCATTACTTAACAAACCTATGTCCCGACCTCCCAAATGCTCAGGCTACTTCTCAATCTGGCCCCAGAAAATGATTTTCCTTTTGCTACTGATGACATGTGAATATTTCTTTACAGAAAGTAGAATAAGCCTCATGTGTCCCTTTATGAACAGAGAATAAATCTGTCAGTGGTACAATGTTTTATGGAAGAGCTGACCCTGGTTATCAGCAAATGTTCTGTATGTCCTATTAAAAAAAAAGAAAACCTCTGGAGGCACCATGGTGTGGGGAAGCCCAGATTAAGTCCTAAGGAGGGAGACCACGTGGAGAGGCCGGGTTGACATGAAGATGGAGAGATGCGCAGGAAGCCCTGGCTGCTTCAGCATCCCCACCACCCCAGCCCCAGGCCCCACCTGACTCCACCCACATGAGAGACCCGAGTCAGAACTGCCCAGACATACAACTCATTCCTGGCTCCTCAAAAACCCTGAGTGATAATAAAATGACCGTTACTGTTCCAAGCCACAACCTCTGGGGGTGATTTGTTAGGTAGCAATAGCTGATAGGAACCCCCTTTCTATAGAAGAAAAATGCATTCAGTTAAAATGAAGTTTATACAATTATTATATGTAATAATTAAAAATGTGTTGAAATTGAAAGTTTACATTTTGGTATACGTACTGGTTTCACAAATAGAAATATTCTTACTATGATCTCAAAATAAACAAATAAAAAAAAACCTCTGAAATTCTATAAAAGCAACATGTAATTCTTTTCTCTAAAGGCAATTTAGAAATGGTAAAAAGTTATACATGTTGTTGGTAATAATAAATGCTAATTTTATTGGCAACCACTATAGTAATAAGAGAGTAAATACATTTTTTATAATTATTTTTGTTTAATTTATTTTTTTATTGATTTCATAGAGGAAGAGAGAGGGAAACATCGATGAGAAAGAATCATTGATTGGCTGCCTCCTAAATGCCCCCCACCGGGGATCAAACCCACAACCTGGGCATGTGCCCGGACCCGGAATCGAACCATGACCTCCTGGTTCATAGGTTGACGCTCAACCACTGAGCCACACCAGCCAGGCGAGAGTAAATCCATTAAAAAACAACAACAACACACTTTTAGTATCTAGTGAATCAATGATTTTTTTCCCAATACTGAGCTATGGATCAGCCAACCAAAATTAACAGGTTGAAATTTAGTCATTGGAAACATAAAAAGTTGGTTTCTGAGTGACATTCCCATGGTGAAAAAGTCACTGGGGACCAGAAAAACTGTGGCGATGAATTTATGCATCTTGAGGCACTATAA